GGACAGTGCCTCCACCTCCGAATGACGGTGCGGAGTGTTGCGGGGTAGTCTAGCTTTGAACGAGTTTTTCTCGACACTGGTTTAAGCTAGAATGCTCGCTTAGATATCAAAAATAACCCTCTAATTTCAGCTATTTTTGATACCGTGATCGCCAATCTTGGGAAAGTACGGGCGCTTTGGGAAAAATGAAATAAGCCTGTAAAAACTTTGCGATCACGCGACTGTATCGAGGGCGGTGGGTACTATTAAAGATATACTGCTGTGAGCCGCGAGTGTACGGGCCGCTAAAAATATCCAAGAATTTGCTAATAGTTTTGCCGATTGGTATCCAATAATTTTTCTGCTCCAACCACTTCGGGGAAATCTTTTCGAAATTAAAGAAAGATGTTTTCAAAAATAAAACATTTAACCTCTAAAACCAGTAAGAACGATAAGAAGTATATAAGAAGATATATTTAACTATTAAATTTCATCAAAATTTCCAGTTATGACTTCATTTTCTCAACCCTCAACGATCAGATAAAGGTGGAAAAGAGAAATGTGAAATGTGTTGAGAAATTTTTAAGAACAAAATTTTCCAGGAGAATCCATCACGATTTACAAAGCTTTGTAATTTAAAATACGCTTAGGAATCGATGTTGTTTTTCTGAAAGAAAACCCCTAAAATGGATGCAGAAAGGCTGTAATTTAGAGAGGACCGATTCGGCAAAAGCGTACCATTGAGGCCTAATATGATTTGTTTTGTGAAATTTAATAGGGTTTTTCTGTGCAAACACTGAGGAATTGAGGTGGAAATTTGAGGGGATGATCATCAGAAAAAGAGAAAAATGTTCTGGTCAATGGTGTCTAAAAGTATACGAAAGTGCTGAGTGGGGGAGATGTCTTCTCAATGTAACAATTAAATCACAAACAAAAGATATTTTAGTAAAGCTGCAAAGCAAAAGCCTCAGTAAGTCAATGGTAAGTCTAGTGGAGGATGGAAAGTCCGGATGGGGAGGATCACTCCTGCTTTTGACATCAGTACTTTAAAGCATAAAGCCTCACGAATCAATAACTTTTATCATAAAAAGAAAAGATCTTTTTCTTTCAATTTATTATAAAAAAATATTTCCGCATCAACTCCGTAAAAGTAGTGGCGTTTCACTAAAGAGTTGTGTTTTAAAAAGTAACTTTTTAATCAACCGTAGTTGCTCGTAAAGTCTTATTTGCCGATTGTGCGATATCGCGTGAAACCAAAAGATTTTTTAAAACGTTTAAATTCAAAAAATTAATTTAAACCTTTACTTTTCAAAATGTTCCTAAATTGGGTTGTTTTTGAAATTGATGCTGCGTTTTTAAAAAAATGGACAAAAAGCGATTGAAAGGTGAATAGGGAAATGAGAAAAAAAGGTGCGCAAAACAAAAAATACCGCAAAAAGGAAGAACAACTGTAGCACAGTGATAAAAGGATGGATGGAAAATGGAGGGTATTTTAGTCGTTTTGGAGTTGTTGAGAAAAGGGAAGGGGACGGAGGAGAAGAGTGGGAGTGCCGCGAGGGCCCCTGGCTATAGAAGGGGGGAGGTGAGGAAGAGACGAGTCCCAAAAGGCCAAAAGAGCTGAAAAAAGTAGAAAGGTTAAAAAAAGAACTAAAGGATAACGTAGAAAAGAGTCGAAAATGAAGAGAGGGATTCCCATTCCCCGGAAAGCTCCGGGAAAACGGCCAAAACCCGAGAAGTCTACTGCTTTTTCTGCGTGGTTTTCTTTCATGTTCCTTGTCTATTCCCCGTTTTGCTCTGATTTATTTCTAATTCAAACCCTTTCTATTCTTCTCTTAGCTTCTTAGGCTGCACGTCGTAGTTTTCTCTAAAGGTTTTAAACTTTCTTACTGCTTACCAAATCTAGTCTTTTTTCAGTCCTTTCCTTCCAGGATTTCCCCTTCTGAGCGCAGTTCCTCGCTCCTCATATACTCCGAACTTACTGCTCGCAAGGTTTTAAGGCAATAGTTTTCTGAATTGAGCTCCGTTCAGAAACCCTCTGGTTTTGGTTTGGTTTGGATCTTGAATCTCTGACGGAAAATTGAGTAAAAAATAATTGCTTGGCGCTTGGCCTGAAAAATCGGTTTCTTAGAAAAAGCTCCCAGATATTGGTTCCCCCCAGCCCGATTCCCCTTCTCTTCGTCTTACTGCCGCCGTTCTTCTCCAATACAATGAAAGTGCCGCTCCATTATCATGCTGGGGTGAAAACGTGAAAATTGGGGTTACAAAAGGAACGACCAAAGAAAATGCATGGTTGGAAACAACATAACTCTGATGATGTTGAGTTAAAGATTGAAAAGTGAATCGTTGGGTAAAATGGTGAAATGCACATAGTGCCTCGAGCACGATAAAAACTGAGAGCAGCTGGGAACACCACGAAATTTGAAAGAGATTTGGTATTGGAATAATTTTTGGTATTGTAAAAAAATATTGTAAACATATTAGGTCAAGAAAGATGCAAGCATCAGCTGAAAAAAACCCAAGCTCCAGCTTTTGTTCTCTTCTGATCAAAAATATTGAAAAAGATCAAAACCCAGGTTTAAGCTTAAGTGTTTATGGAAAGAAAGAATGAAATCGGGTGTGGCAATTGGAAAGGTTTGAAAAAGAAAGAAAAAAATGAGGGTAAAGAAAAGCAAAAACTGGTGGAGTTTCCCAAGAAAATAAGTCAAAAGAATAGCAAAAAAAGAGAAGCGTTAAAGCTACGTAAGGAAAAATAAAACGTAAGTTAAGTTCAGGGAGTTGAAAAGTATTAGATTGCGATGGGGTGAGAAGAGGCGGAAGAGGCTGACCAAACAATGAAATGCATGAAGTGAAGAAGAAGCTGTAAAAGAGAAGATGAATGAAATGAGTGGATCGTTGTGGTGAAAAGAAAAAAAGAATGGGATAGGATGGCATAGAGAGTGGTTGAGGGAAGGGGATCCCCGGGGGGAAGGTCTCCACTTCACAACCTCGATCCCTTGACCCCCCCATTAGCCAGCAAAGGGTCAAGAAATGTTTCGTGCTTCGGGAACGAGTTAATTTCAAAAAAAAAAAGTATCATACTGTCAACTTGAAAATTATCTCAAACGTTTCTCTTTGTGATATAAGACAATTTCTGAGTTTCAATTCCGAGATAAAGAAAACACGCCCAAAAGCGTGAACAGTGAAATGAAAAGCTTCCTTGCAAATAAAATCAGCTTTCTACCCATTATGGTGAAAGACATCCCATCCCCTATAAACGCCCAAATAACGAATCATTGCGGGGGCTTATCGTTGATCTAATCAGTTTACATACTTCAGTTATACGTAACCCAGAAATTCAGAGTGGCTCTGATCAACAGTGTTCGCTTCTGTTTGCCTAAACAATTTCTTTTGCTACCGTAGTTCAATGTTTATACTTAAAAGCTGAATGGTTAAGCTTCCAGCAAATTAGCTCGCCGATGAGTAAGTGAGAAAAAATAATAGAATGGAGTTTGTTTCTCAGCTTGATTATTCTTGAAGATAATATTGAGATGTGATCAAAACAATCTCATTAAAAGATCTTCAAATTTCTTTGAACCAAGGACTGGGGTTTCAATAGCTTCATTAGGGGTTTCCTTGATAAAAAAATTAGAAACATGTGTGATCATTTTTAACCATCTTTTCTTATCTTTAAAAATTTCACAGTAACTTTGCTGGTATATGTGAGAGATCTAGAGAAGCCTCGGAAACAAATACAATTCTCTGCTGAGATTAGCAAATGTAGGTCCGCTTTAAGCCAAATGTTCTTTTTTCGAGCTCCACCCAGCATCTATACGAAGTGTTCCCATTCTTCTGAAAACTAAAAGCTACTTTTGGTGTCCTGAGAAAGCTTTTATGATTGGAAGTGGGGAAAGTAGCTGGGAAAGGAAGAAAGAAATTTTCTCTCGCCGCTCGACAGACAGACAATTTGCAAAGAACAGATGGGCGGAAAAGTGAATTACCGGTCATCTCTAATCACTCCTTAATGACATGGGGACTGTGTGGAGAGAGATAAACTGATGCCAGCACAGATGAAAAGAGATCTGTTGTGGAGATCAAATAGGGCAGACTTCCTGAAAGTGCCAAAGCTGAAGTCAAAAAGATAGGCATTGAACACCGGTGTCCAATATTGTGCAATTTGTTTGAGATCAATGCCTTCAAAACCATCAGTGTTTTTCTGTATCAGTTTAGATGCTGCCAATTTAGATTCAGAATTCGTATTTCTCAGGAGGAGTTTTGCAGTCTTATTCTAGAATGTAAAGCAAAAAAAATGAGCACACTGAATTTATAGAACCCTGAAAAGCTCGAGTTTTCTTGCTTACATCACGTGTCGCCGATATGTCATCTCAGTTGCATAATTGGAGTTTGAGGTCAGTGTACTGTAAAATGAATGAGCTGCTTTGCGAAACGTGGGGTCATTGCTAACCCTCAATGTGTAATAATTAAAACACAAAACAAGCTCGATATTTTAGCGAAAGTTTCCGCTATGCCTTCAAGTACATAAAGTCAAAAAGTCGTGTCACGAGAATAGCTCAAAATTTCTTTAAACTGCTTTTTCGGATGGAAAACGCTTTAGAAATCGGCCTCAAAAGGGGAGCCACCCAATGCCCCGAATGAAACACAAAAAGATTGGAAAGAATTGGAGAGAAATGTAGGCAATTCTCTCCCTCTCTCCTCCCCATTGATACAATACTGTTCCTCAGTCGTAGCGTAGCTCGGACCTTCTTTCTTGTGTGATGAACCCTCCATCCATAAATTAGAAAGTTTCCGTGATGAAAAGGACCCCAACAATGATCTCAATTCTGGTTCAACATACCTAATCCTGCACGGGAGATCAACCCAAGGTCATTTACGTCGCAGTGATAAAAGCTCTTTATGACATGTGCTAAATATCAAATCCCAGTGCTCAACTACTTTCATGTCTCGTACCTAACAGCTCGCGTAAGGCATAAAACCATACTCAACAATTCTTATTAAAACCGATGGCTCTGAACTCGATAAAACTCATGGACTCCAAAGCTAGCTTCAGAGCTACGGCCAGTGAAGAAAGAACGGCCACACAAAAACGACTACTCCGGCAACCTGAAATGAAACGCTTAAAACTCGAGAAAGTATCCCAGCTGATACTTCCTGGCTTGGGGGCTTTGGGCCTGAGAATCGCTGGCGCTGAAGACGCAGGGCACGGGACGAATATCGCGGTTACAATAGGGTGATGAGATTCTGAAAGGAACAAGTCTTCATGTTTTCACCAATGAGACTCGGGCAACGCTATTCGTCCGATACTGCTTTGCACCAAAATAACGTCTTTGGATTGGCTTAAACATCAATGCACAGCAGAAAATTGGGCCCATCTTTATCCACAGCCCGACCTCCGGTTCTCCACAAATTTGAAAGCTTGAGCGCCGCAAAACCAGGGTGCAGTCGCGATACAGCTGAAAGCTCGAAGTGACAAAAGCACCAAACCAGTCCTCCCAAATTCTCTCCGTCGGCTCAATAGCAAGAACCCAGTGAGAATCTGGGGAACCGCTACATGTCCCGTCCTGGATAAAACGTTTGAATATCTCCGGCGGCACGTTCATCGGAACACTCAAAATTAAAAACAAAGTGATAACTTGGTGCAACGTGTCTCTGGAATCTTATGCAATGCGACCGGACAAGGAACGAAGATCACCATAATCCAGCTTTCATTTTTGTCTAATAAAAGTGTCCATGTGGGTACTTCAGCGGAACATGGGTCGCCCATGGCTGGTGATGCGATATTCCGCGGCCATTCAACCGCTGATCAAGCGCTACTGTCGATATGTTTTTCAAATCAGGATCTTCGCCAACGACAGAAGAGACCGAGTGTATCCCGAGCCAACAACACGAGACACTCAAACCGCAGCTAATGCTTAAAAAGAATTAATGGGAGACCAACACAGTCAGTTTCCGTGACGTAATCTTTTTTGAAAAGCCTTTGCATCAAATGAGTAGTAATGGAATTAGTTGCCGTGTCCTCAAAGCATGAATAACGCGCTTCCTCTGGCCATTCTTCGAAGTTCTTTAGACTTCTAAACAAAATACATACACGACTGATGAATGCAAAACTGCAGCGGGCGTCCCCTCAGTTTACTAGCATGTTTTAACTGGGTGACACGCTGAAATTCAAATCCTCACTTTTAACTCGGTAGCGGGTCGGGGGATTCTCTATAAACTGGGGGGGGTAAAAGAACAGCAAGTGAAACAAAAATCCATATCACATCTCAATTCCTGCAGCTCGGCAGCAACTGTTCCAATCTTCTTCGTAGAAGCATGTTTTGCGGCGGTTCATCGGGTCGTTGACTTCTGGCTTTAGCTTGCCGCGTACAAGTCTCTGCACATAGAGCATAAGGTAACGGCCAACGACCTGAATTCTCTCTGCTCCCCATTGGAAAACCCGTCCGATTCTTCTTGTCAAGTATCCGAGCTGGGGGCGCCTGGGGCCAAACTTGTCAAATCTGAGAGAAGCGGTCGGATCTACCGGCATCTGAGTTAAGTGCAACCTTTCGTAGCAACTCCCAATCACTGAGTAAACGGTGGCGGTCAAGTGTTATTGTTGTCTGCTTATTTCTAAAAACAAAAATATATTTCTCACTTCCTTGACAAAATCGCGTTAAGAAATTCCTCGCACAAATCATCAACGTCGGCAACTTGTCCTCTCTCACCTAAACATTTTCTAGGGATGTTTTTACGGCAAAAACAAAACCTTGCTGCCAGAGTAAGAGCAAAAATTCCGGATGAATCGTTGTTGTTAAGCGCAAACTGCAAACGAACACAAAACATCTTCTTGGCAAAATTCGATATGGTTCTTTTCGGAAGTGCTTCCAGAGCACAGTTTGTGTCTTCCAGACATCTAAAAAAAAACCAATACATGTTAGTTTTTATGGTGAGCATCTCAAAATAAATTGCATTCTTCACGATTTCCTCTTAGCCGTATCTTTCTTTATAGCTGATTTTGGTTCCGGTGACGGCGGTGTTTTTGGTGGCATTTTCTGCTCTTTTTGTTTCTCCAAAGTCATTGCTCGACCGGAGGGTAGCAAAAGCAGAGTTTGGCCTATGGTGGCCTTAAAGTAATTGTACAATACTGAAAGGACGCATCCAGCATATTTTTCAACCCCAGCGCAAATCACTTTTCATTTTATTTTCTTTCTTTGAAGCATTTTTAGTCGTAATCATTATAGACTGGGAATGTTGTTTTATTGCACCGAGGAACACCAAAACCGCCTGGTATTTGAGGAGCATGCTGTGGCATATTTGCGGTGCCGCGATGCAACTCACCCTGATAAGATTACTGCATTAGCTTTTCCCCGCTGGGTACTTAACGCGTTCTCAACCCGGCACAATTATAAACCTTTCTTCTCAGAGCTTTTGCTTCTCTTCCAGCTTTGACTTGTTCTTTAGATTTTATTATGCCTGTCCATTTCCTCCGCTCCCATTCGTCATCGATCACCTCGAGACGCCATTTACTCGTTCTTTTTCTGGTTCTGTGGCCTCAGGCTCCTGTGGACAATGACGATGTCACAGTACAAAAGCTACCCTGCCAAACGCTTGAGTGCTCGATGAAGAAACTACTTTGCAACAGTTTCATAATATTTTGTAGGTTCATCTGAGGGGACCGTTTGAGCCTTTTTTTCAATAGTCTTTCTTCCCCCGTCATTCTCAAAAGCAATAAATTTTAGATGCACATGACTAAATAGAAATGAACCAGGGTCCTCCGTAGCCCTAACAATTATAGAGAAACAGCAAAGTTACTCGGGATTACTCATTCCCAAAAAAGGAAATGATAAGTTAGGAAACTTACCGCTTCGGAATCGTGGAAAATATCCGCACCTTGTTCATCAATCCCAACAAGATTTCTAAGCAAGCCGAAAAAGGCAAAATTATGTCTGGTATTTTTCAACGCACCACACACGTTCCACGACAAAAACAGAAGATAGCTTGAAATAAAAATCGGGGAATGTATTGGAAAAGAAGAACGTTGCCAATGTCAGAAACCCGAAATCTATGACCTGCTGACCGTGGAGCACGTGGGCTATATGCTGTGCAAACGATTTAGCAATATGCTCAATTTTCCGTAATTTTGATTTTTTTTCAAATTGAGAGTATTCGTCTGTTAGACTTTCAAGTATGGAGCAGTTGCTAATTTCTCCCTCTTTTGTTGCGACACAACTCTATATTTCTGATTGACTTAAAATGTTCAGATTTATATAGAGCTACGAGTGCTGGCAGTGGCAACCTCGCTAAGCTCGGCTGGCTTTGAGGTAAGTTTAGCCTCCAAACCATTCATTTTAATCGCCTTCTTTTCATCACCCAGGCTTCGTGTAGTATCGATGATGAGTCGTTGAAGAAAATCCGATCATATGGAAAATTCTTCTCGACAAGATTTTGTACTAAGTTTGTTTAAGCTTCCAATATATTTCCAAAAAACTATTTGGGTCGTTGTACAATACTCGAACAAATGAAAAATCTCGATCCAACATGCAGCACAGGGAGTATCCAGCTAGGATTGGTTCAACGTGCGAGTGGATGAATTGGGAGAGAGGTGTCAGCACAGTTGAGGAAGTCGACAACGAAGTAAAAAAAATTGTTTTTCTTCAAGGTGTTTCAGATATCCCCCTGACATCCCGTCCATATCCGTGGACTTTTTCAGAAAAATACAAAAAAGATGCGGAAACGCTGCCTTTGGAGTCATGGTAGGTCAGAGCTTTCGCCATGATGCAAACACTCATAATCTAGGGGTCCTTCATATTTGATGGAAGCAAAGAAATCCGCAGAGGAGAGTAGCTCTATATCACGACTTATCGACATTGCTTCGGTAGCTTTGAAAGTTTAAAAAAATAAAACGCAACAAATTCAGCTCTTGTATGCTGGCTGCTAGAATGACGCCCACTCATCGCTATTATGTAAAAAACAAGGCCCGGAAACTTTCGTAATACTCTACAGGGTAGGTGCGGCTACTACTTTTAAAGATGATAATACGATAGTCAACTCTAAATACATTTTTAGATAGCCGAAGGTGCTTCATCTTTGGATCTCGGAAGTGAAATGAAAACAACTCGATTGGGATCCTTAGCTACTCAAATCGGGACATTTAGCTTGGAATTGAACTATAGGTACTAGATATAAAAACAAATAGGGGAAAAAACTTCGTATATTTTAGGACACGAATGGAAATCGAGCAAAAATAACAAGCGATTCGCCTATCTTAGATTCATACCATCAGGTTGGGTTAAACATGGAAAAAAACCAGTCCTTGGTCAGATTGTTTCAAATAACCTCAACTATCTACCGCTCATCCAGCATTTGCCAAGCTCTCCCGATATCCATCCTCATTTTGCGAAGTCATTTCACAATTTAGTACCAGTCCAGCGAGTGTGGTAAGTTGGCATCGAATGTTTTCTAGATGGCACGTTTATCCATATTAATGTAGTACTATTTATGTATTTGTTTGTTTTGTGCATTGTGTCTTCAGGCAGCATCGCCCATTCCTGGTCAGCTTGCACTAGCAAGCTTCCCCTCCTGGCCCCTCTACACTTTATCACTAGAGTGAGCATTTTTTAGACACACTCGATACTAACACCCTGAATAGTCTATACTCGTTTGCCTTGTAGATGTACATTAAAGATCGTCAATTCAAACAATGGATTCGTTCAAGAATCCGACACCGCATGAAAGCTCTTTAAAGTCTAAAAAATAAAGTTATATTTTAGACTAAGAGCAGGACTCAATCCACACAGTCAGCGAATTCGGGTTAATGCTGAATCGCCACCTTCCTCTGATGTTGGCTCATTGGAAAAGGATGGCGCTCGTCGAAGTAGAGAACATTCGGATCATTGGTAGAAAGGCAACAAAAACTTTTCGTAACAAAATTTAGACCATTTCTTGAAGCGATATTCCATTTGCTGGTCTACTTACTATGTCTCACGGGTGCACTCTACCCACTAACTGCTTTAACCGAAGAAAAGTTTAACCATGAAAATGAGGAAGAAGAAGCGACCGAAGACAAAGAGGGTGCTGGAAGCAGATGATCCCAAAAATGCACAATCAAGTCTAGAAAACACTATTGGTAATTTATCCCAAGACTTAATCCTCATCAAAAAAATTACAGTTGCCGATACACCGCTAACCCAAACGACTCCACCAGCTTCTGCGGTCGCTTCAGTGGTTGCATCAACGGTAAGAGCGCGATAAAGTAAGAATGAAAAAAATTTAGGTGAAAAATAACCAAAGTGATGAAGAGCCGGAAGATGACGAATAAAAAAGAACAAACCGAGGTTGAAACGTCTAAAGACTCTAAAAGCGATGAATTGGAAGAAAAGAAGACGACGATAGTTTTGTCGGGGTAATAGCCTCATAAGCTAGCATCGCAACCAAACATTTTAGATACCATTTTTTGGAGCCGGCTCATCTCCAACTTCGATGACGGTAAGTCACAAAAAATGTTGGAGTACGAGGAGAATTTCAGACAAGCGCCGAATTGGGAGAGTTGGTTTCCGCGTGCCGATTTGCACCCAACATCACCGGGTTCGAAAGCATCAGTGTTTCGATTGAACGGATCAAGAAAGAGGTATTAGTGTGCGAGTACAAAGAAAACACCCGTTAATGTTTCAGATTGACAAATTCGAGACCACGCAAGGCTTCTTCGACGAGTTTGTCAACGAAGTTAAGGACAAGTCGGAAAAGTTCCACTAATGCTATTTGTGATTTTGCCATTATTTCCCGGTGCTTGCAAAAATCTCAACTTATTCCTTATAAAACTTCGCTTTGCCTTGTTCTTTGTCTAGCAACGATTCTCATGAGACTATTGGCTAGTCATTACTAGTGCAACTGTGATACAATAAATGTCATTTACACAACTCTGATGTGTCAAAAGTGCAGTTGAAGCAACAATACCGATTAGCTACTATTCATTTTACGTTTCTAACCATAAAGTTCAGTAAAAACTTTAAAATTTTGGCTGCATTTAAACTGAAACCCACCCCAAATTTGTTGATTCGTCGAATTTTCCGAGTGATCCAAAAACAATTAATGCGCTTCTCGCGTTGAAAGCAGAAGAAGGCTTCTAAAATGAAATGTTAGAAGATGAAACGTGAGCAAAAGTTTAAAATTAAAAAGATAAAAAATTAAAGCTTGGCAGAAACAAAAGTAAAAGTTTCACAAAGCTTTGCCTATTTATATTTGCGAAGGAACCATAAATAATTTTTATTAATTTAATTGAATATCAAAAATTTTTCTTTGAATAGATTTAATGGCTTTAATTTCTAAATTTGAAGCTTTCCCACATTTAGCTTTTTGTGTTCCTGCTTATTTTACATTTTTAACTTTAGAGTGTTATGGAAGCGCAGGATAATCAAAAGCCCTCTTCATCGGGTCCAATTGAAGCCAAAAGCAAGGATGAGCTATTTTTTGTGACCGAGGCCCGAGTTCTGGGCAATTCAAGACGAATACGTGAAGAAACTTTCCGAAATGAGCGCTGATGAGGTGAATTTGTCTTTTAGACGAGTAAGCCTGTGTTCAACTATGCTTACATAATTTTTGCGTATTTTCATCTTTTAAGATGTATCCATCCTTTAATCCAGGACCGACAAAACCCGATGGAAGTATGAATTTCGAATGTCATTGCGTGGGACATCTTGTTGCTAGTCCTTGTGGATACGAATTTAGAAACGTTTGTTTGAATTTTTGTTGTAAAAGTTTGTACTGAAATTTTTAGGTGATAAGTTGTCAAAAATCCGCATCCGATAAAGAAATGGAGGACGGGTGCTTGTGCCGATGAAATGATCGAATTTATGAATTGCGCTTTAAGAACGGGTAAAATTTTTGGCTAACAAAACGTAAGATTGTAATGTTTTAGAATGCTTCAAAACAGCAAAGCAAGATGAAGAAGATTCGAAGCCAAGCTCTGAAGATAAATGATATCATTTTAGTTGTTTTTATGTGTTTTTTCGTGAATTTGTTTTGTTGTTCTTTTTTGATAGGTTTAGCAAATAGATTTGTTTCAGATAAAGCAATGACAAGTCTTGTTGGATACGCGCGTCGATGTGCCTTCTCAATTTGCCAGTGTCAGCGAGAAGGTGCTAAAACTTTTAGACTTGTTAATTGTCAGTTTTTATAGGCCAAATACGTCCCTAGAAGATCACTACTTTATGTGCCGGCGAGCAGTGAGAAAATGCTTAATAAAGTACCGTTAATGAAGGTATTTTTTCTTTTTTCTAAATGCTAAATGCCAATTAGCGATTACTAGGGGAACGGGCTGACAATGATACTATTTTTTACACTTACAATTAGTAGTGTTAAAAACTAATTAGCTAGAGTCTTTAATTTTCCTACAAACTTTGTACCCAATTTTAGTCGGATTGTGTGGTGCTCGAGCTAGAAGACGGTGTGGCGCTTAACTTCGAAAGCGGTCGCTCGCTCTAATGCTGTGAAAACGCTCAATCAACTTCAAGGTACTAAATATTTGACTTCATTTTGATTAGTGTTAAGGTAGCATGTTATCGTGCTTTGAGCTCGGTCTCCGCGTGAATTCTTTTGCAAGTGGTCTGCTGGAAGATGACTTAAAGGTATTTTGAGATTTTTATTTTTATTGCGAAGTTTAGGAACTAAGTAAAGCCGAAGTTCTTCCAGCAGCTTTTATGATTCCCAAAGTCGACACTCCCGAAGATGTGGCTACGATTTATGATCTTTTCGGACGACTTTTGGAGCTAATCGTATCACAGACTCGGTAAGTCTTTAAGGAGTTGATGTTTGTAACAGTCCAACGTCGAACTTTAGCCTACAAGACTTGTGATATGGATAGAGTCAGCGAGAGCCCTATTGGACATGCCTAGAATTGGTGAGAAATGTTTGTGAAAAGTCCTTATTTACCATTAAGTTTTAGTTTCTTCTGTCATCAATCTTCATCGAAATTCTGGTTAGATATGACGTGCGACAATTTCTATTTTCATTTAGGATTCTTCAAGTTAGACGCTGTGGTGTTTGGTTCAGATGATTTCTGTGCGGACATTGGTGAGGCGTGATTTCTCTAACTTCTTTTGTCGAGTAGTAAGAAACACAACTGATTTATTCATAATCTTTCGTCGTCGCAAAAATTCACTTCCGGTTGACTGAAATAACGTTGCCGCTATAAATTCCGGTTCGTATATTCGACCTCCCGTTTCCATTCCTAAAAATTTGGGATAAACATTGTTCTGATGGAAAATGGGTTGAGAAATCAGGTACCTAGCTAAAGAGTTTCTAGCTACCTAGCTAAAAAAATTTCCAATTTTTGTTTGGGAATTCTTTTGGAGATATTACACTTCTTTTCGATCATTCAAGTTTGAAAAAAGCGGTGCTCACGACTCTGGTGCGTACGATACCAAATTTGAGATGAGCTATTTGGCCTAATTTGTCTTGGGTCAACAAAAAGTACTATTCAAGCTGGAAGCCTTGTTTCATAAGCACATTTGCATAGAGTTTGCTCACACCAGATTCATGAGTACCAAAATTGAGTACCTAAGACAAAGGTATTTTATATTAGATTTTAAATTTCACACAACGAGTAGCTAACCACTTGTAGATTCCCCCACGGCATCCTCGCACCAGAAGCGGATTTCCGTCGGGAATGTAAGGCACCATAAGCCATAAGTGTGATAGCAGAGAAAATTATGAACAAAATGCGGGTAAGCATGTCTCCAACCGGAAACGGCTTCAAAATGCCGATGGGGTTTGTGGCGTGGGGACCTGAGTGGGAGGAGAGGTGCGGGGAACAAGGCGGGGAGGGGAAGGGGTGGGGACTGGCCTGGGCTAGCCGTGGAACTCTCGACTCTCTCCTTCACGGCATCCATTATGGAATAGGCTACTCTCTACTGAAACTGCGCCCTTTTCTTTTTCCATCGTCGATCCCATATAATTGTGGCTAGGGAAACTGTGGGAATGCGTGATTTTTCTCACATCATCGTTCCCGGCTTTTTCATTCAGTGTTAAGCTTAGTCACGCATAAACCGCCTCTCAAGAAAACCGGCAATTAACTGGAAAATTAATGTTTTGATGAAAATTTTATTGTTTTAGGGGCAATCCGAACCGCCGAGGGCCTTGAAAACATTTACGCTCGTCAAAGATTCGTCACCGTATGCAAGGCTTTTCAATTACAGGTATGTTTGCAAAATAATGTTTTTTAAACATAACAAATTTGGATCAAGAAATGAAGACTTGAAAAAAAATAATAATTTTGAGAAATTTTTGTGATTTTCGTGTGAAAACGATTGTTATTTTTAGGCAATAGATTCCGTGTACATCGATCTCAAAGATGAAGAAGGTTTACGCGAATCTTGTTTGCAAGGACATAGCTGGGGCTTCACTGGGAAACAAGCTATTCATCCTTCCCAAGTAATTAGTCTTGCCTTTTTATTCATGAGCGAAAAAACTCTTTTGAGGTTCCCATTATTCAAGACTCTTATAAGCCGTCCGCGGAAAGAGTTGAATGGGCAAAATCCCTGGCCGATGCTTTCTCCATGCATCAACAAGGGGGTTTGTTGAATTTTTAAACACGTTTTTCTTTGGCCAGCTGATTTTAATTCTTGTCAAAATAGTAGTTTATTTCCAGGAACTGGTGCTTTTTCTTTCCGTGGTCAGATGATCGACCGGCCCCTTCTCCTTCAAGCAATGAATGTACTCCAAATGCAAGAAGGGGATCATGGGCGGTGGATTGTAAATAAGTAGTTTCTGTGTGTACAGTAGCTAGCTTGTGTAAAGCTGATATTTATAAATATTTTATTTCTAGTAACGACTTCTCATTCAGTTTTTCGAGGGTTCCTGGTCGGTCACTATTTTTGGAGCCTTCTTTCGAGCTCTTACGTTTTAAAATGTTGCTGAGAGCCGCTTTTCGTGCCTCAAGTGGTCGTCGTCTGAAAAAAGAGGTGTCAGTTTTGAGAATATATTTGTTACGTCTCACCTGGATGGTGGAGAGGGTTCGGTGTTTGAGTTTGGGGATAAAGGGATCTTTTTCGATCGACGAGTTCACAGCACTTTCATCACTCTCTTCAATGGCTGAACTTTGCTCAGCAATTAGTGATAACCTAAACATTATCGGTATTAATCGTTTTCAGTGAGCACCTTGATCGAAATTGCACTGTTGATGCTATTTGATTTGCATGACTCAGCGCTATGCGATCTTCCATCTCCTCTAGTGCCTGAGATTTGCATTTACAGTTGGTAAAACTTTACAGTACCTCAATGTCATGCAAAGATGGATGTGAGGGTTTTACATCGTTAATCACTCGACTTGTCGAGAAATTAGCATCAAATGACTTTGATATGACGATCTGTAAGCAAATACTATCAACATTTTTTTTTCACATCCCCTACTTGACTTCCCACTAATATCACTTATTGTGTTGCTTGTTGTGCTGATTCCCGATTCTTCGCGCACCAATTCGGTTAATATCAAAATGTCACCTTCCTGGAAACATTTCTCTACAAAAAATTCTTAATTTTTTTCGTGTGAAACCTCGGTGTCGACAAGCTTCATCACGTCATCGATAGACAGAGACCGGGGGAGGAATTTCATCTAAAAAATCTTATTTATACTTTTGAATATTTCAACAAAACTTTAACCCAAATAGAATTATACCGTATTCTTTAAGGAAAGCTGAATGACTGATCATTTAATGTACTATCGATATAAAAATCGATCTACTTTTGTAACTTCATAGAGTTTATTTTAAAAATCAGTTTACCCCTGCATTTCGTATGCTTCTCGTGATCCCGAGAGATCCTTTCGTCGGTGATGGAAATGAAAGAACGGTTTGGCAAGTCTAAAAGCTTTAATTGTTCTACTCTATGGCTTTGTTCTCCATTGATAAACAAATCAGTAACTTTTGTCAAAAGTAAAAATATCTATTTAGACTTTTAAAGAAGTTATTAGCGATCTACCTTATTGTAACGCTTCTTTCCATGAAGAGCCGTCTGCACGGCGTCTCGTGACATTGAATTCACGGAGCTTGATGTGCGAAAGACTCCTAAAATTGAGAATTTGTATGAAATGGAATATTGTCCATTTTCTCTTACCTAAAGCACTTCCTCTTCTCGTTAAATGTCGTTCATCGCCCACTCTACCGGCATCTAAAAGAAGGCCGCCTTCCCGATCAAAATGTGGATGATGACGTTTACGACCGGCTTCATAAGTTCGCTCAAGTTTAGCCTGAACATGGAAATTTTTTCTTTCTTGGGTTTCAAGAGGAAGATGAGATTAGAGAAAAATGTTATCAAGTAAAGACAATACTGTAGCTCTGTACAGTAAGAGTAGACAGCTATGGTCATTCAAAATACCATATTCGCAATTCTTCTTGCATTTTTTTTCACCTGAATCAAATTGATACACATGGAAACTAGTGAAAGACCAATAATGATGTAGATAAAAAGCATCAAGAGGTAACGCGGTTGGGTCGGAGTGATATCTAAATTTGAGGATTTACGGTGCGCTTGAGTTAGCATTTATGAGCTAATGCGTCTTTTTGGCTCTGTTTTTCTACCTGGTATCACTTTGATAGAACAATTTTCTTCACGATTTCACTTCAAATTACTTACCACCTAAACCGATTGTCGACAGGGAAATAAAGAAAAAGTAGAAAGCCACAAAATAGTCCCATTCGCTCTCCCAAATACAAAAAGTCGCCTAAAAAGGAAACGTTTTTGGGCTACAAATTTGTCTAGAGCCCACTGAGCAAATGAATATCCAGGCGACAACGACGCCAATAGCAATCGGTACCGGTAAGTCGAAAATCTCGAGATCTAAACACATTTGTATAGAAATTTGTGCTGTACTAGACAAAAAAACTGTCCCACTAAAAACGCTTTCTAACTTGCTTCAAATCTGTTGGATTGTTATGATCTATAGCTCAAAGAATAGAGAATTTCAACAGCTTTCGAATCGACTAAAGTACACCAAAAATGCTATCAATGCTAAAGAAAGTTACAATGGTTTTAGCCGAAGCGATCGAGTCAAGCTACAAACCATTGTAACTTTCTTTAGCATTGATATTTTTCGGTGTACTTTAGTCCATTCGAAAGCTGTTGAAATTCTCTATTCTTTGAGCTATAGATCATAACAATCCAACAGATTTGAAGCAAGCTAGAAAGCGTTTATAGTTTACGTTTGTAGTTTGTAGTGTCTATGCAGTATACTATTGAAATTTTGTTAAATCAACAACTAACAGATTTGGCCTAACGGTTTTTAGTACTCTCCGTAAGCTAATAGTAAGCAAAGTCTTACTATTAGCTTACGGAAAAGCAAAGCAAAGCCCTTTACCTCTCTTATCCTCAGCGTCCAGTCGTTTGATCTCATCCATCGTTTGTTTTGTGCAGTAACGGAAAGCCCGTCGGCATACGCATTTCACCAGCCACCACGGCGTTTTCAGGCATCTTGTCAGCAATTTTCCTGAAAAACTATCAACAATAACTGGGCAATGGCAATACTAATTGTTTAACTGCTAGATATTTACTTCAACAGGTCGTAGCCGGTTTACGAATTTCGTAAATGGCTACAACATTTACATTATCATGTTTCGTTACAGTAAATCTGAATATCTCTATCCAAATAAGTTCTTTGTTTAATAATACTGACAATGAGAGAGCTAAAACAATTGACAATAAACAATTGACTTCTCCGCACTCCTGTTATTATTCTACTAAAGTTTTCGTCTGTTTTTTGAAACATCCTGCTGCCGAGAAATTGATTGAAAAGGTCAAAGAGGATAGGTTTAGCTTTTTAAAAGAAAGGGAAATTCTCATGGGAACAATTCCCAAGGTCTTCCCCTCTCCTCTTTCCCTTCTTCAAGCTGGAACTCCTTCTCTTTTTCTTTCCCAATTCTTCCTCAATTTCTCACCCTATCGGTGACAAATGATACCTCGCTTACTAAAGAAAATCCTTTGTACTTTTCTTTGATCCTTTCTTACCTAGATCATCGAGAATTGAAAGGACTAAAGGGATCCCAAAAATCGCGTAGATCATTGTGAATAAACGGCCTTCGAAAGTTGTTGCGTAGAGATGACCATAGCCGATCGTTGTGCAAATCGTCTAAAGCAATCGGAAATTATGGTTTTATGAATTCTTGAGCTGTTAAATGCAAATGAAAATAAGTGGGTACTGGGATTTGATATTTGAGCACGTGTCATGAAGAGACTTATCGACGGACTAAAGGGACTAAAGGACTAAAGGGACCTTGGTTGATCTCCGTACAGGATTAGATTATTTTAATTGAAAGTTCTGTACTTTTGAATTCTCACTATCACACTAGAATCACCTGTGCATAAAGCATTGCATTCCAGAAATCCCACGGGATTTTCTGATCGGTGTGTTTAATGCCGAGTTGGATTTCGTATTTCACCAACTCTTCGCCCAACTTGTTGGAAACCTGGAAAAGTTTTGTGAAAAGGATTTTAAGCAGTCTTATCTCAGAAAAGTTTCTATATTTGGCTACAAGAATTGAAAGGACAAAAGGGATTTCGAAAATCGTTAGAGTCCTAACTCACACAGAATCTGGCTCTGCCACAGCGTATAGGCTGGAATTTAGCTAGTTTGACAAGTAAAGAAAGACTGAATAGACTGAATACTTTCAAAACCCTATAGAAGATATTCGTTTGTTTGACCCGAATGCTTTATCTGAGTTATTGTAGAGAATACTAGAGCTTTACAGTAGCAGCAAGATTGCTTTACAGTAGCTTTCCAGTAGCTTTACAGTTTAAATTTCCCCACTCACCTCTATTGTTTGATTATGCGTGAGAAAGAAGAGATATTCGGTGTTATTGAACAACAATGGAATTATTCTAGAAATCAACACCGTACGATTTTCCCTAAAACAATAAAGCTTATTTTTTTTTCTTTTGAGTTATTTACCGTATTTCAATTTCCCAATTTCTCTCCCTAATTTCATCGGCTTCTTTCTCATAATAGTAGAAAACAGCAGCGCCAAAAAATTGATACAAAATGAGAATCGAGATTAGACAAATATGTTTGAGACCGTAGTCGTGATAAATCTGAAATTCGAACTCTGAATTCGAGGTGAAAATTAAAATGAATCTAAATCTAAAATAGACTAGATGATCATCATCATAAATATTCAAGATGATCATCATAAATACCATATTTCCTCTAATAGTAGTGCACCCCGGCAAAGCCGAGTTGGTGACTATTTTACGGTTTCCAAGCTTTTGCAGAAACTCAACACTCAAATCTCCCACTAGATCTCATCGTCATATTTCAAATGAATGTGAAATCTAGCTGTTTATGTTTATCGTATTATGATAAACTCATCATCAGATACTCCTGAGATTCCACTGATCACTGAAACAACCTTGGTCAAGCACTCTGCCCTTGATCAGGTCAAGCACTTGATTTGTTTTGATGACATTGACATCCTTGATTTGATTCACCATTGATTGACATACCAATGCTTTTGGGTACTAGGCAATCCGGTCAAACTTCAGTTTGCCGAACATTGAGGCCTTTGAGTTACCGTATTTTCCTCGCCGAGCCGAGTTGAGGACGATTTTACGGTTTCCAAGTTTTCCCAGAAGTCCAACGCTCAAATCCCCCACTAGATCTCATCGTCAGCTACATTTTCCGACCCCACATCAATAGGTTCTGATAAGCGGTTCTCGAGATTTCGAGCAATTTAGGCGACGCTCAGGGTGTACTACTATTAGAGAAAATATGGTATCCGTTTTCATTTTACTCACCGTTCTCAAAATTCGAACCCATCGCGGTACTTTGCGTACTTTCTGCAAACCTTGACGTGCCTCTTCTCGTATTGAGTTGCTCAATTGGAGTGCCTAAATTGTTTTATCTAGTAACAAATCCATCGAACTTTTGAAATACCCCTTTTCGAAAAGATTGCCGCAATCGATTGAGATTTACGACATTCGAGGGCCTTCGCATAGCCATTACATCTAAAAAGTTTTGTTATTTTCAGTAAAAAAAATCCCAAAGTACTAGAGAAAGAGATTCTATTGTAGAAAAGAGAAAAGTTTAACAAGTGATTTTTAGAAATTTTTGGAACTCCGAATATGGCTGGGTTGAGGGGACGAAGGGGAGAACGCAATCTTTGAGATTGATCTTTGAAAGGAAGAGGACCCTGTGGAGATATGCAAATTTGGAAAGGGCAGAAGAATTGACAAAGTGAAAGGAGGAAAGGAGAAGGCTGACCATTGAGGGGACCTCGATGAGGGCGATGGATGTGAAGAATGAGAAGAAAGGAAAGGAAAGGAGAAGAGATCACTGTCCCGGGGGACTTCTTCTAGAAAGAGATCTCTTATTCTGGAGAAATCTCTGCTATGGTAACACCTTTGACTTTGATGTCGTCATCAGATTGAAGTAGAATCAATGGTTGAATGGCTTGATCGGTTTTGAATCTGTAAAAAAAAGTGAACGTTTAGCTGGTTCCTCATTTTCCATTTCCAAGCAAGCAAATCCCTGGTTTACCTAGAAAATTTGATATATAAAGCACAGTATTAAGTTTGACAAGAAAGAAATCCGTGTTGGGCTTGATGTGATCTCTGTGCGCGCTCGTAATCGCTAACCGTCTGGCATCCTCATCTGGTACAAGGTGCTTCCTTTTCCGTCTCGTGGAAGAATGGTCATGTAAATGACTCTTGTTCGTTATGTCCCTGCGTAATCGCTCGTCTTCTGGCAAACGTTCCCAATAGATAGGTCGTCCTCCTTCGAATCGGAAGAGGGAAAGGACTGAGTCGGCGTCACTTTTTACGGCGTCACTTTTTACGGCGTCACTTTTACGGCGTCACTTTTACGGCGTCACTTTACGGCGTCACTTTTTACGGCGTCACTTTTTACGGCGTCACTTTTTACGGCGTCACTTTTTACGGCGTCACTTTTTACGGCGTCACTTTTTACGGCGTCACTTTTTACGGCGTCACTTTTTACGGCGTCACTTTTTACGGCGTCATCATGCCAACCCTCTGACATCAACTTCTACCTTAAATTTCTAAGTATTTTTCCACAGCTTTTACATCCTGTCTTGGACTATGTTCATAGTTAATCGCTAAATTTTTTGGATTTAATTTAAATCATTGAATCCTTTCATATTGGACAATATAAAACCCACCATTGGAAGAACATCATCTCATTATGGAAAAACTTAAACTTAAGCTGCACCCCCTCCAGTCAATTCCATAAAAAGTAAACTCATTGAAACGATTTCTATCTTGTCAATTGCTGTGAATTCAAAAAATTCAAACTCTTTGATGATTAACATCAGCAATCGGTTGTTTAATTGCTCTCGGCCCTCAGTGTGGGTGCAGTTTTTGCTCAAAAGTTTCACCCAAAACGAAAAGAGTTTCCATTTTTGAGGACAAAGTCCAGTTGATTCATCAATTGCTTAGTTTTATCTCAAAGAGAGTCTAAACACATCTGTCCCATTTGACCCAAGGCATCTTTCATGGGAAAGTGGGGGGTGGAAAGAGAAAAACAATCGATGATTCACACTTGATTCAAATTGTTTATTTTTGAAGGAAGCAGCAAGATTTGAGAGATAAAAGAGATCATTTCAAATTCAGATATTTCAAATTTTTGATTATCTGCTTTTCAATGCTCTGGTTTTTAATATTTCTTTTTCAAAATGCTTTCACGAAATCGTTGCCGGAAGAGACGATGTCCACAGTAAGTTTGAGAAGATGTAAATAACTAAACTGTAAATAACTAAACTGTAAATGACTAAACTGTAAAATAAATCTAAACTGTATAAATCTAAACTGTAAATATCTTTACAACATTATTTGTTTTCAAAAAGTTAATCAAATCAATCTGTTTATTTATTAGGTTGATGGATAAGTGTTTTTGTTCCTTTTCGTCTGCCGTTTCAAGCCAACAAATGCACCAATTAAACTACGGTTGATTTCATTAGAAAAAGCAATTATTTTTCTGCAAAATAACATTAAAACGGGTTTAAAAATATTTAATGCCTGGATTTTCTTGAGAGTATGAAGTCGGGTAGTCAAAAAGGGCTAACTCGATGATGCGGTTTAGACACCTTAGCTAAAGAAAACCTATCTTCGTGTCAATAGATAAAAGATAGAGAAAAAAAACGTTTGATATTTTGCCAAAATTTCAGAGAAATTCATTCAGCCAATTTTTCCGTAGAGTTTTTTATAGATTTTTACGAAAAGGCGTTTTTCACTCTCGAATTTGTTTGAAAGTGAACCGAAATTCATTTAAAAGATGCAAATTGAACAAAAAAACTTCTTTATAGAGCAAACTATAGGTTAATTCGTGAATTTGTTACTTTTTAACAGAAGTACGAAAAAAACAAAAGACTTATACATCAACTATTACATTCAACTGTCGAATTCTTTCACCGAGCTTGCTTTCTAATCGAATCATCAAAATTTCTTTACACTGAATGGAAACCAACGCGCACAGAGCTCACATCAAGCCCAACACTGATTTCTTTCTTGTCAACCTTACAGGGTACTAAATACTGTGCGTTACATGGTCAAACCTTCTAGGTAAACCAGGGATTTGCTCTGGTTAGAAATGGAAAAAGAGGAACCCAGCTGAATGTTCACTTGATAGCATTAGTTCCCTTAAAATTTGCCTCTTTGTAAAACGTGGATCACCAAGAAATACATATTTTAATACAAATTTTGAATAGGAAAAATAACTTTATCAGATCAATTGTGAAGAAAAAAAGTGTAAAAAAGTTTGCACAAATAACTAGCAATGTAATACGACCTTTAAAGTATTTCAGATGTACTTTAGATTAGAAATTCTATATTTAAGGAAAACATTTTAGCCTCGAGATCATCAGCTATTACGGTTATCCAGTGGAGATCATTACGGTGACCACCGATGATGGACATATTCTCGCGTTGCATCGGATTCCCTTTCGGGAAAAATGGTGCGAGATTATTGACATGGAAATCTATAGCCATTTATGTTTTACCTAGTTGAATTTACTAAAGATTTTTTACTAAATTATCTATGTTCTTTTGAACTTCACCTTAGAGTAAAGTAACCTTTAGAAACCAAAAAACGAGGAACCCAAATCGACCGGTGATTTTCCTTCAACATGGCCTCCTTGCGCCGGAGCGCTGATTTTGTCGCCAATCTCCCGCATCAATCACTTGGTTTGCTTAAAAAAAAAAAAAAATTAATAAAAAATTATAAAAAAAAAGAAAAAAAAAAAAAAAAAAAAAAAAAAATCCAAAATAAGATTAAATCATCTAGAATATTAAAAATTAAAAAAAAAAAAAAAATTAATTAATTTTTTCCCGTAAAAGGCTTTAACTTCAAAGTTTAAACAAAAACAAAAAAACAAAAACATTAAAAACTTTGAATCTTTAGGTTTCACGCTGAGCCGATGGGGTTTCGATGTTTCAGTTGGAGAATTCTTGGGAAACTTCTTACTGGCAAAGACACACAAAATTGGACTCCACCCGCCAGCTTTTTGGAATTTTACGTAAGTGATTTGTAGGCAATGGTAAAGGTGATTAACCTCGAAAATTCAAAAATCCTAACTTTGAAATAAAAACGGTATTTGAAGGTGGGATGAGATCGTCGCCTCACGACATGCCCGCACAAGTCAATCGGGTTTTAGAGGTTCGGAGATATCGTTTATTCTAACTGAATATTTAATCCTTTGAATAAAATACCTCTGTAGATTATGTAATACGCTTATCTCCAGATCACCTTGAGCCTCAAGCCTTCACTATGTCGGTCATTCACAGGCCATAATGGTGATGTTCGCTCGGCTCGCCAACCATCCTGATTTTCATCTCAAGGCTGTTCGGAAATATTAGATTAATAGCGGAGTCCTTCCTGTAGCTACTAACTAATAGCGGGTTCTTCTGGCGCTTCTAGCAAGCTTCTCGGCGCCCTGTCACACATGGCACAATAGAGAGGGCGCTTGGTTTAGAGCCCATTACGGTCCGGGTTCGACCCACCGTAGTGCCACTAAACTCTCATTTTTAAAAAATTTCTTTAAAATAGCACAACTACAATATATTTTAAGGGTTTCTAGAGAAGCTTTAGCCTCTTATTGACCTAAAATACCGCATCACAGACCGGTACAGAAAGTTCGCGCACAGCACAGTATCAGTGACACTGTCCTTATATACAGTAGAAGAAACGTCTGTCTGTCTTTCGTCTCGTCCATCTGTCCGTCTGTCTGTCTGCCTGTCAGTCTGTTCGCAGCCATTGGCAAAAAGGGGTGGGCGCTATAGATTGTGTGAAAAATGTCGATCTCGCCAGGGAAAACGCAAACTCTTAGTGAGCGCTTTCCGCTGGTAGAATCAAACCAAAAGCAAAGTGATATCCGAAAGCTTCAACACCATTTTTAGATCAAAAGCTTCTTCGCGTTGGCTCCAGTGGACACTTCGTCGGCAATATCAAGGGACCTTGAGAATCATTTCTGGATCAACTTCCAGGAAAGAATTGAGGGTTTCTTTTAAAGCTTAGGAAGCAGTACAACAATATTTAAAAAGTAAATATTTATAAGCTCGACTTGAGATGCAGGGTGAGCATCCCGTTCTTGCTAACCACCTTGGTTCTCGCGGATGACGGCGCGGATAATTTGCGGCACAATCGCCATGTTGGAAACCCACTGTGTCAGAATATTCTCTTTCAGATTGGTGGACCGGAGAACAAACAGTTCAATGTGGTGAGTAGAAGATCTCATCTTGGTAAGGGATAAAGCCCTCCCTGGCGGCAACGGAATACAGGGTGGCTGAAAATTACGTGCGCGCAGCATCTGGACATAGTTTTAAACAATGTTATAAAGCATTACTACTCATCTTTTTGTGTTTCTAATAATCCTTTTTATCAGTTGTAAGTCTATTAATTTTTTGTTGAAAAAGTTTGTTTTCTAGGTCATGACAAAGATCGTCGGGACGCAATCGCACAGCTGGCGACGAGAGGCCTTAGAACTCGTCGATCGCATCGAGGCACAATTGAAAAATAGGAAAATCAACAATTTGAATGATTTACGTCAAGAAAATCAACGATTTGAATGATTTACGTCGAGAAAATCAACAATTTGAATGATTTACATCGAGAAAATCAACAATTTGAATGATTTACGTCAAGAAAATCAACAATTTGAATGATTTACGTCGAGAAATTGATCAAAATCTGGAACGACTTAGATGCAAATTATTCCCGCCGCACCGTCGATTCTGTAAAGAAGCGAATTGAAGCCTGTACCAAAGCGGATGGCCGCCACTTCGAAAATTTCTTGTAATTACTGAATGCTTTTGTTACAACTATTATATAAATAAATATTTTTACATGTTCTTTGAAAAAAAATTAAATTATGGCGTTTTCTTTGGTGCACGTAATTTTCAGCCACCCTGTACGTGCCAGCGTAGGTTATTGGTAGAGCGTTAGCGCGGAAAGCCCAGGTCGGTAGGTCGCCCAGCAAGTTCCAGGTTCGATTGGCAGAGGCGGCCATTTTTTGGATTCCCAGGCCATAGAAAGCACCGGCGTGTCCAACTAGTTTACTGATTGTATTACTGAGATTGGTACAAGATACTTTGAGACCAAGGGAGCAAGACTCTCCCTCAGACTATGCTTAGTTGTAAAACAGTCTAATTTCTTTTTTCAGAGCCGCATCAAGGCCCATATGTCACACACTCCGGCAGGCACCTCCACCTCGAATAATTCTGCATTGGGCGCAAATGGTGCAAGTGGGAAGACACAAATGTTCGACTATGGAAGCGCAAGGAAAAATTTGTGGCGATATGGACAGGTTGGGGAAAAAGAAATCAAAGAAAAACTTGATGCCCTACAGTGAACTCCTCTAATAGAACGCCACCTGGATAAAGACGGGTAGAGAATATCGCGCGTACAGTCGCGTAGTTCAACTTTTAAATGTGTTGTTCTCCGCACTGCTTTCTGCTACAGTGTTCTTACATAGTGTCAAACGATAGCTCTTGAAATCTAGTATTTTTTTGATACCAAAACTGTAGTTTGGAAAAATCTAGAGACGGAGAGAAAATGGATTTTCTAAAAAGAAGTTGGACGTAAAGGACTGTACGACTTCTATTAGAGTATTTACGAGAAATTTTTTAGGAAATCCCTCCCGCATACAATATGTCGACGTTCGTTGAGCCGACTTATCTCTATTATGGAGACGCTGATTGATTAGCCGATTTGATTGATGTTGAAGTAGAGTTGCAAGAAAAAAAAAAAGCTCATAAACTTTTCCAGAAGATAGATTTAACTTTAAAAAATGTCTAGTTTTTATCTAATTGGAAAGGCAATAAAATAAGGGCGCGTTTAGATTTCTAGGTATTGTCTTTCTCTGTCTAGGGTCCATTATGGGATTGGATCTCACTCTGGGGGACGATGGTGCAGAGTGTGGGTAGTTTCCATTTGAACGAGTTCCGCTGGACATTTGCTTATGCTACAATGTGCGTTTAGGTATCAAAAAAATAGCTGAAATTGAGGGCTATTTTTTGATATCAAAGCGCACATTGTAGCATAAACCAGTGTCGAGAAAAACTTCGTTCGAAGCTAGACTACGCAACACTCCGCACCGTCATTATGGGGCTGAAGTCCAATTATTGCATTTACGGTAAGCAACCAAACCATAACTTTTTCTGTCATTTTTGCCAATTACGACCGAATATTTGGCCAAAATTTCATCCCGATCCGATGAGAGGTTTTTGAAAAGTTGCTTAAGCTGTACGGGCTAAAAGTTAGTCATTTTTTTTTACTTAATGACTGATGTTCATTAAATGCTGATTAGAAATTTAATTAGACAATGATTTGAGAATCGAAATCATCACTCTTTATAACAAAAATCAAACGATCTTTGACTACAACGTTATAGCTTTGATTTCTTGTCTCTGTCAGTGAGGCTAATACGACTTCTTGTCTCAGAAAACGAGGCTAAAGACTACTTTTTGTCTCAGAAAACGAGGCTAAGACGACTTTTTGTCTCAGAAAACGAGGCTGTGACGACTTCTTGTCTCAGAAAACGAGGATAATACGATTTCTTGTCTCAGAAAACGATTTTTTTCGGATTTCTTTTCTTGATTTCTTTCGGGATTCTTGAAAAATTAACTTTCCTAAACTTAAATAAAAATGGGAAATTTTTCTTTTCAAGATCAAAAAGGTTGCACAAGGGTATTTATTTTTGTTTAAAGTTTTCATTTTTGTTAGACATTGTTGGACATGGTTTAAGCCGTTTTTGGATTTGTGATACTTGATTTTAACACAGAAGTGGATCCAAAAACTGATCCAAAATTGATTTTATGATTTGTTAAAAACGAAGCATCGTGATCTTAATGAAACTTTAACTCATAATGGACAAATATTCACCTCTCATAGTAAAAAAGTTCTTGGTTGCTTGGGAAATTGAAAAACAATACTTGTAGATTTATTAGAAGATCGTTGAAATGAGTTATGAAATCTTTTTGCAGGCTTTAGTGAGCGAGATGAATCCTGAGTGTAAAGTTGTCTGGAAGAAATTGCTCGGATACAATCATTTCGATTTCATTTACGGTCTGGGAGCACCAGCTGATATCAGTGAAAATATTATAATGAATATTAAACGAGAGCATAAAAAGGGGAAAATGTTGAGATCGAATAGGGTTTAATAGAATCAATGTTCAATGTTTTGTGTTTTATTTCAAGTGTTTTGTGTTTTGTGATACGAATTTACGGAAATTTCTTAGTTATTTCTATTATTTAATGTCAACCAAGTTAAAAGTTGTTTTGTATACCACTCAATAAAAACTAAGAGGTAAAAAGCCTTGATTGTCTGCACAGACAGACAGACAGACAGAGAGAGACAGACAGACAGAGAGAGACAGATTGCCATGTGGGTAAGAGAGCCAGGCATTGCCATGGACAGAGAGACAGAACATCTATATTTACCCCCATGGTACCATTCTTGAGGATGGTACCATCGTCTAGCATGGTACCGCCTCAAGGATGGTACCATTGTATTAGGTGTGTGAAAAAGTAATCGACGTTTTTTATTTTTATTTTGTTTAAATAAATATATCTAAACAATTTTTAATTTTTTGTTAACGATATATATATATATCGTTTAAAAGCTTATTTTTTCCTCTTTCGAATGATATATTTATTTTGTTAAAAGGACATGACAATAAACTACTTCCATTTTACTTTGAAATCTGGTATAGACAAGTATCGTTATTCGGTCAAATTTGCTTTATGAGTTCAAAAACGGGCTGAAAGCTCCGTGAGGCTTCAATGCCGAATTCTAAACGTGTTTGGCGAAGACGCTGTTATTGATGGTACCGCTAGATTTTGGTTCCGACGATTCTTTTTTTTTGATGAAAGCCGAGAAGATGAACCACGGTGAGTTTTTCCTGAGACTCCGTTCTGATGACCAAATAGGACGCTGTCTTCTGGAAAACCCTCGTTCAACTTCTTCAGAAACAGGCCTGTGGATTAAATTGTGATGGGTCAACCGTAAGGGAACGCTTGAATGACATGAATTTTATCAAGAAGTTAATAAAATGGATACTTCCATGAACGATAACGCGCGACTTCATGTCTCTTTACAGACTCGACTAAAAATCCAGAGTGCTGGAGTGTTGGTTTTACCACATCCACCTTATAGTCCAGACCTTTCTCCATCTGATTATTATTTGGCTTTGCCCCTGTCTAACTTTTTGGCCAATCAATTCTGAAGAAGTTGTTAAAACCGAGGTTGATCTTTTCTCTGCCTCTAAGGACCAAGATTTTTGGCCATCGTAGAAACGTCTTTACTTCTAGAACGTTGGCAAAAGGTTGTTCTTTCGACAGTGGATTACTCTGCTGAATAAAATTCATTTTAATGAAACTTATGGTCCTTTATATTTAAACGTTAAAACGTCGATTACTTTTTCTTACACCTAATAACTGAACAATTTTAGAAAAGGTTTTTTTCCAGAATGATGATAAAAACTATGATTTTCTGGGGGCAGGTTTTTTCATAAAGTGAAAACAACATTTTTCGAACTTAGTACCCTCAGGAAGTAAATTCACAAAAACAATTGATATAAAAAAATTTATTAATCCGGTCTCCCAAAAAATAGCCGGGATTTTTTCCCTCGCTTTTTTCCAATTCATTGATCATGTGGGCGATGACGGAGTTGATCAGTAAGCCTGTTTTTGGAGGCGTGGAAGCGTCCCATTCGTTCGGTTGGGGCTGGCCTAAAAATATTTATATTAAAAAAAAGATAACAAAAAACCAGCGGCAGCGGCTTTGACCGGAGACACAGAAGCTCCTCCCTTCATCACACGGAAAATGACCTCACAGTAGACTGGGAACTTAAACAACAAATTATCAGAAAATTCCAAATTATTTTTTCCAAACGAACCCCATTCTGATCGTTTCCAACAAAGGCAACAAGGTATTCGCCCACTTGAACTAAATAAAATAATTAACTTTAATTCACAAATAAAAATTTTACCTGGACCAACACAACGGACCTTGATGCATTTCAATTCATCACCCCTCATGACGAATTGATTGGCGGATGGAGTGATGACGACTTGTTGCTCGCAGGTCAAGAAGACATTTGAATTGCAGCATGGGTTATGGGAGCATCGAGTGAAACTCCATCCATTTGCCAATGTGTTAATGCGAATCTATTGGGTTGGGGACTATGACTCGGCGCCAAACTTTAAAGGAACTTTTTGCACACATAAAGCCTTCTTTAAATATACGTTTGGTTTCATCAAAAGGATCCACTATTTCTCTACAAAATGACTTTTGAGAGATTTCACAAAGCTTTTCTTTCTTGGAGTCTATGGACTCCCAAACACAGCTAATCAAAATGGCAAAGAGCCCGACTCATCATTTGAACAGTTTCTTTCACATAAACCTTCTTGGGCGCTGTTTTTTACAAGATATGACCACTTTCATTTTTTTTTTTTGCCAATTTTCCTGTAAGATTTCTGCAATTGTTTTTTCTAGATGACAGTTTGTAGTTTATGTGAAAAAATGGCTTTTTCTTGAGCGGAGGCGCTGTTTGAATTTTCTTTTAAATGTCGTTTTGTAGAGAATTAGTTAACCATTCTACTGATATCAAACGCATATTATTTGACGAAGTCGAATAGAAGTTTTAGACATTTTTTTGATTTTTTTCGCCGAAATATAGTCCCTAACCCAATCAAAGTAAAATTTGAATATGATTTAAAATTTTTTATTTTACAAATTTAATCAATTCAAATTTATAATTTTTGAAAATAGGCAAAGCAAAAACGTTTAAAATTTTTCAAAATGAAACTCAAATGGTTATAAATACAAACTTGAAGGTTTTTGATGCTTGAAGTTTTTTTTCGTTCCACAGCCACTGTTTGACCAACACGAATGTTGTAAATCTAAGTTTAACATATCTAATAAGAAAAAGTTAATGAAAAGCTCACTGGAGTTCCGTCCTTGCTGGTTTCTGGCCTGGAGTCGGACCGCTGATGCGCAGCCTTGAGGCGAGAGGCCACCCTGGATGAATGATATTTTCATTTAAAAAATGTTTTTGTAGTATATTTTTTATCCGACAAGGAAAAGTGACAATGCAAACAGATTGAACAGCGTAGACGAAGAAAGATAATTGATATACAAACACAACTACAATTAGACACGTGTATATATGACATTAAAACTAATTTAAAATTGACAGAGCTACAAGATCGAGTTTATATATTGAGTATTTAAAATAGTTCAGAGACGAAAAAATATCACAAGGTAATCTTATTCCAACACAGGAGGAACACGACAAGCAAAAGAATGATACAGTTGGCGGTTAGCGGAAAGCTTTGAAAGGGGGTAATCTGAAAGTTGTGACTTCGAGTTCTCCATGGGGTGATTCGAAATCTTAAAGAGTCCTTTAAGTTCCGGATGAGAGTTAGGAGAGAAGATGATTTTATAGCATAAGACCAAATCAAAATAAATGCGGCGATGGGATAAGGGTTTAAGGTCAAAAAGATTAAGTCGATCAGAATAGCAAGGAATTTCTTTCGATGGGAAACAACGGGCATAAAAACGTTTTCTTTTATTTTTTTGAAAAAGTGTCTTTTATATTAATCTTTAAACAAAATTTTCAATGTAAAAGTGATTAAAAGAAAGATTATAAAAACCTACGGGATTTTGAGCTGGTGCAGATCCTTGAGCCATCGCGCAGAGAATTGGATGATCCCAACAAACCATCGGGGGGCATTTTATATCTCGTTTTCATCGTAAATTTCTGAAATTTAAATGCAAATCTTATAGTATTAAGTAACAGGGTTTGTATGCAATAAAGTGTTTGCCTCGCTGGTGTTCCGCAAATGGATTTCCTCTCCCACCCATCGGGTCTTTCATCATCCAATTGAATACGCTAAATTAAAACCTTCTGTAGAAACGGTTAATCAAGCAACAGCCCTAGTAATCAAACTAATTTTTCTCTACGTTTTTATCGGTAAACTCTACAAAGCAGATTCCATATTTTTTTAATGAAATTTAACGTGGATTCTAAAGAAAATCAACCGTGTGAGTTCTTTTTCCTGCTTTTTGCATCTTAAAATTATAGACCATTTATTGGATCGTGGACTCTCTCAAAATATAGTCTGACTTTGACCGAAATTTTTTTCTGTCTTTTTATCGGTAAGTCTGTTCAAAACACATTCTATATTTCTTTAGATGAAATTTAATCGTAGATTCTTTAGTGATAAGCTAGTGATATCCGTCAAATCCGACTCTCTTACCCCCTGGACAAATATCTGGGGGTAGACACTATCTCGACTTTGACTCTAATTTTCCCATGTTTTTTAATTGGTAAGTCCACAAAAGGACAGATCCGGTATTTTTTTAATGAAATTTAACGTGTAGATTCGATATGAAAAGTAACTGTGAAGTCGATTCAAAGTACATAAATGGCAACAATAAATAATTATTTCCAATGGTGTTACTTATATAGGTCTCTTCTTCTAGAGCTGACTAGAGATCCCTTCTCTAGCGGGAGTTCACTCTTCCACTGGGGGTTAGCTTCCATTGGCGGCCTAGGGTTATAAAGCAAGAAGCTATCTTTTTTTCTCCCCTCCCACATCGTGATAAAATATCTCATCTTTCTCATGTGTTTATGTGTAATTTGTGTATTGTTCGCTGATTACGTTTATTTCATGTCCTGAATGTATGAATATATCTCCCTTTGAAGTTAATGATCTATTTATTTGAAGTTGTCCAATGTTGAGAGAAGGTCTCGCAAGATGTTCAGGTTTTTATTATTTCTTTAAAGTGAAGCCAATTTTCGCAAAGACATTCCCGGTTTAACGGGTAAAATTAACATCAAGTTATGTCGTGCTTCTTTTATTTTTATCACTACATTGTACTGTACATACTATCAATCAATTGTATGGCCACAAAAACCGGAATCGACGGTTTCTCGAGTGGCACATGCTAAACAGTTGGATATATATCAAATTTGAGATATGAATCAATTATATATCAAATCAGATAAGCAAATCTGATATGTCAAATCTGCGCATAACAACATGATGCCAACCCCGAAATTTAGGAAATGTTTGAAAGCAAAGCTATACTCAACAAAACCAGAATCGACTGTTTCTCGATTGGCTTACATGCTAAACTAATTATATATATCAAATTTGAGATATAACAAATCTGATATAAATTTGATACATAGCAAATCGATATATATAAATTCTGTCGTGCTTCTTTTTACTACTATCAATATACATTGTACATGTAAGTTATCAAATGTGCAAATTGAAAATCCGGTGAAGCGGAAAATTTCTTTGTGAATTGACCACAATTGGGCGTTGTATTATACCAGAATAATTTGTTTTGTAAAGATCTCTTGCTTCACACTGAAAAAACGACTAGAAAGTAACATACGGTTGAACTGAAATTTCTATGGAATTGGCTGTGGATTTCTTGGAATTTCTAGTAAGGCCACCTATTTGACCATTGCTTCTCTCGACCAGATTCACCAACGTCACAGTGATTAAATTCGAGATTTAACAAATTCGTCCGCCAAAGTAGAATAAAAAGATCCTCCACTTTTCGCACAAAATAATTGAGATTTTTTGCTCATATCTTACAAATTTTATCTGCCCTCAACTAAAAGTTTAACGCGTTACCAAAGCTTAATCGGTTTGAATGAGTACCGCGAATGTGATAGAATTCCCCATCTTAGACTTTCAGTTTTGCTGATACTGATTTTTGCGTGAGGTCTAGCGTTGTCATGATGAACTTATCTTTGATGTGCAGGATGCTCATCTCTGTTCAGCACTGCAGGTTCAGCACTGACCCTTCTGTGTTGAACCCTTCCGTACCGAACCCTTCAGTACCGAACTGTTCAGTACTGAACCTTTTTGCACTGAAGGGTAGCTTATGGAGTCACTTATATGGAGTCACTTAAGTATGGGGTAACTTGTATTGGGTAACTTTTAAGAATTAAGATGAGTTAACTTAGTACTCAATTGTCCAAATACTTTAAGTTGATCCTCTTAGGTAGCTCGAATTTACAGAATTTGCAGATTATATTTTGCAATTCCTTTTAAGTTTCAATTTCACTACTAACAGGACCGATTATATATTCCTTTAGTCAGTTTATTGTAGATTCTAATAAATGTAGCGAGTTGATTCAGCTTTTGCATCTTAGTAGGACCACTTAAGTGAATCGACCCTTTATAGGTAGTCTCACTTTGATCGTAATTTTCTCTATGTTTTTCTATTAAAGTATGCTAAAAGTTGTGGTTTTCATAACCAATTTCAAGACTTTAAGACCTACCACCGTGATCGGTCACTGGAGTTGAGATATGAGGAAAGAGAAGAGTCGACAAACTCCGACTCTCTCTTTCCCCCCCCTGGACAAATCTGAGGGCTTCGGCTTTTTGACTCTTCTTTTCTTTATGTTTTTATTTGTCTTGTCTACAAAACAGATTTATGTTTTTTTAATAAATTTAATGTAGATTTAAAAGTACTTTGAGTTGATTCAATTTCACATCTTGACTTACAGATCTTTTTTAAGTGGATGGACCTTTCAGTGGGTAGTCGGACTTGATCGGAATTTTCTTGTTTACATTAGTGTGTAGTAAATACATTGGTTTTCTATAACATTTCATAAGACATTTTAAGACCAACCACAAGTCGATTCGTCAATTAGAAGCCGGGAATATGGGCGAAGAGTTGTTATACTAATAGATTTATTGGGGTATCATGACGATACAGAATTTGATCTACATCTCACACGATGACACGTTGTTTCTAATAAAGCAAATCGATTTCTTGAAATTTCTAATAATCCTTTCATTACATTACAAACTTTAATACTCCTTTTTTACTGATTTAGGGTTTTGATTGGCTTCAAAATACTGTCAAATTTTTGGTATTTTGTACATTATGAGTAAGTCTTGCTACACAGAGAAAGGTTGAATTGGTGTTAACAAAGTTGATCCAAACATCAACAATAAACCTAGCAGAATTTTTCAGTGTTTGCTTTTTTGAATTTGAAACTTGG